GAAAACGTGGTTGATGTCAAGTGATCCGGCTTGAATGAAATGTAAGGCATGTGAAATGTCAGCCTTCTATCATCATTCATCAGTGTGCTTTGAGCTACCGCAAAAAAAAACATGGTGGCGGCATCCACCCCTTCTTCTCGGCCGGCGAGGGTTAAACCTCGCTTCGAATTATTGCAGATAATGATGCGACCGAAAACAAAGCATTTATCTGTGTCTAGAACGGCCGCTGACTTGTTGGACAAGATCCCCAATTTTAATTCGCTAGATGGGAATAAAATACTCGGTATGTGATATATAGGTATAGTTATACCCCTCGATTTGCCCTCGCGCGAAGTCTATTCTAATCATCACTGTCGCTTTTTTATCCGAGATGATGTCGCCGCTAAACGGGTTATTTTGTTTGCTTGCTTGCGTTGAATGGCCATTACGGATTATTGAAGGATTATGATAAAATGGGATTGGGGCAAGGGAGGATATGCACTGCAGTGCAGGTGTTTAATTTAGATCACAAAGTCATCCTTTCCGGCATCGTGCAGAGTCACTATCTTCCCCTCCTCTGCACTGCGGCATCTCTGCGCCCCACACACGGCGTCCTCACCCCACGGCCGGCCGCCGCCAACTGACCCACTCGCCGGGCGCCGCGACCTGACCCGTGTCGCTACCGCGGCCTGCGCAATAGAGTCGGGGCTGGAATCCGGGGGTTCGGCCGGCCGGCCGCCTCTGGAGCGGGGGACTTTTTTAGTAGACCTACTGTACGGGCCGATGAAGTCCGCCTACAAACGAGCTCTGCATGACCACCAGATGACAAATCCCGGACGGCGCATCGACCTGTACCAGATGGCAGACATCTTCCGGCGCGCCTACGACTGCAGCTTCACCAGGAAGAACATCCTGAACGGGTTCGCAACATCTGGTGTGTCGCCTTTAGGCATCGGTAGGATTGTGATTGCAGGATTGCAAAATCCTGATTGCATTCCTTTTTGGTGGATTGCACCTGGATTTGAAATCCATTCCAAAAAACAGGATTTGATTGCGGATTGGATTGCATCATACTTCCAATTTTTGCAATCCAGTCCGGATTGCAATCCTTTCCTGGGGCAATTAGTCATGTCTGATATTTTCCCAATCTTACTAGGCCTAGAATGATGTGCAGCCGCTAAGTTGTGCAATGTGCCTCGACTGAACTAACTAGAATACTGCCGGTTGCCATAGACACAAATTATCCCAGTCTCAAGGCAAAGTTGGCGCTGCGCTGCTTGCATGACAACACGCGCGGGGCCGGGCGAGAGGCGAGAACTACACCATTCGAGATGCAGCTGATGCTGAAGCTCAACACAACGTAGTGTGGTCGGCAGTGGTCGGAGAGGACAGCTAGAGATGGTTGACTTGCAGTTATAGCCAAGTGTGTCAAATACATTCACAATTTGACGAAATGTGTTTTGGTGTTTGATTAGTGCTTTGAAATGGTTTGTTGCGATTGAAAATTATGAGATCGGCTTCATCGGCTTAATGTACTTTGCTATCAAGGGCTTTACATCGAAACTTGAAATAATTTAAACGCTTTTGATTTAAACGCTCAAAATAATATACGCTGATGAACTACATAGGAAGGGCAAAATAACGTATTTGAGGGAGAGTTTTAGAAATATAAAACACGGGTTGGGTAGAGGTTTAAATGTGGGGGTGTTTGAGGCAAAACATATTTCTCATAAAATACCTGTGCCTTAGATAGGAATTACTCGCAAGACTGGGTACTAGAAATGGGTGATTTGGGGATGGAGGCACGGCCCTATGCCCCCCCCCCCCCTCCCTCCCCCAGATCCACTAGTGCACATGCCACATACCTAATAATACCTACAACAGGATTGCAAAAAAAGGATTGCGGATTTGATCACAATCCAAGTGAAAAAAGGGGATTGCGGGTAGGAATGCAATCCACTTCGGTACTAGGAATGTGGATTGGGAATGCAATCCTTTCAAAAAGGATTTTACCGATGCCTGGTCGCCTTTAAGCAGGGACGTCTTCAACGAGGCGGACTTCGCGCCAGCGGCGGTCTCGGTGCCGGTGTTGGTCCCGTCAGGGGGCCAGCCCGCCGTGGCAGAGCCCGAGCCGTCCGCCGCGGCTGTGGCTGTGCGGTGCCTGTGCCAGAGCCTGACGGACCAGCTGAAGCCAGTCAGCGAGCGAGCCCCACGCTTAGCGGGCCCCACGCTTACCCTTGCCCTTGGTGACAGGAGGCCGCTCGGTGGGAGCGGCCGGTACAAATGCGACGGCGTCGGCAGCGGCAGCCGCAGGGCGGGCGACGGACTCGGCGCACGGCAGGTCGGGGTTGCTTCCCGCCAGGTTGCGCAGGTCGTCGAAGGAGGTGATGTGCTTAGTGTCACCACCCCTGGTAACACGAACCTTCAGTTGGCCGACATCGCTCCATTCCACGAACAGTTTCCCCTTCCGTCTCAGCTGGCGGGCTGCGTAGAGTACCGACTGTCGGTGCTGAGTCAGGTTATCACTGACAAAAATCTTCTCCAGCTGCTTGGCCGTGAAACGTCCCCCGGCTGGCGCCGCCACTTCTCGCAGCTGCCTGCGTGCCGCGAACAGCTCCTGGCGCTGGTCGAACGGGCGAACTTCACGATGATCGTGCGGGGTTTTCCAGCGGTCTGACGCCCGATGCGATGGCAGGCGTCCATGTCCGTCGGGCTGATGTCGATGTTGATGATCTTGCTCAGATCTCGCACCAGCTGTGAAGTGGTTTCACTCGCCGTCTCGGGGACGCCGGAGATGTTCACGCAGTTCTTGCGAGGATACTGCTCCAGGTCGTCCAGCTTCGCCTTCGTCTCACCATGCTCCTCTCAGCACGGCGATCTCCTCTTCCTTGCTCTCCATCGCCGCCCTGACGGCCGCGGCGACGATAGGAGCGAGTACGGCCTCCAGCACGGCTGCAGTGTCCGGATCCTTAATGGTGTCCCAAAACTTTGCTTTCATCTCCGCGTCCTCCATTCTCTTGTTACCGGTTGCTCACTGGCACAGTCACTAACGATAAGTCACTGTCTCTGCGGTTTTAACTGTGTGTGGCGACTGGCGCGACACAACACGCTCGCACTATGTTTTAACTCTGGACCAAAACTGGCCAGGGCTCATAACTAAGAAACTGTGGTGCGGTGGGGCAGTTCACCACATATCAGTGACTGGATTTTACGTTAATCAGAAATGGAAAATATCAACCTGGTGCGTGTTCCAAAAATTCAATCAGTTCGATCCAAACGGCCCCAAGTAAAAGAATTAATTTAAGGAGCGGGTTGTTATATTTAAATTACCAAAACGAAGTCAAAAACCAAAACAGCGAATCAGACAATGGAGCGACGAAGAGACGAGAATGAAATCCAAGTTTGCCAAATATGCCCTGCCTAATCTAAGTTATAAATCCCGGACAGAACGAGTCAAATCGCGGAGCCAGACGTGACGCGTCTGCTCGGGCCAAGACAGGCCCATGTCGTCCCCTATCTCCGTGTGTGTCCACTAACACGAATGACGTCACGCATGTGGGCGGAGCTATAGGCGGAGCCTAACGCACGCGGCAGTCCAAGCCGCCATATTTGAATTTATATTTTAATAGAATCTTGCCGATATTTTGGGTGAAGTCAATTTATATGGATAGCTTGGTGACAGTTTAGCTATACGAATAATAATTATTTATGGGATGTGCGTATATTCAGCTTGGAATTGCAATTAAAGTTCCGCACCGCATAGATTCGAACTCGGGACCTTTGGAATACTGCGCGGGCACGCTAACCACTACACTACCGCGACCGCGCGGCGGCCGGCGGCAGGGAGGCTGCGGAGACATGGGGGGACATTTTACGCTTTTGTGAAAAAAGCAAAAGATTTAGCGAAAAACACGTAATAGATAACTTGCAGAAAATTGTCTGCTCTTTCAGATAAGATGCTTAGGTTTGATATATCTTGTGCAGACTTCATTCTACAGTGCTTCGAAATTCGCTCATTTACATGGGGATTGAACGGGGCTTCGAGACTTGACTCCAAATGACGTCACGAGCTGACGTCACGAAAAGGTAGAATCGCCGGACGACCCTACCTGGTATATAGGGCCTTGGGCCAAGAGCTCGGCCAGAAGCCCCGGGGGAGCGCGCGGCCCGACGCAGCGGGTCGGGCCCCAGACATGCGCAGAAGCACTCGGACACCACGTGGCTGCGGATCGGAGCGCGGATTGGTCACTGGCCGACGCACTGCGGCAGCGCAGGCCGCAGGCACGCGGTCGCATCGTGATGGGACAAAGTTCACTAACAGACACGCCCTGGGCCGCCCCCCAGCGCCGGGGCGGGGTAGCGACGTCACAAGTCGGCGCGCGAATCGGTCTGCGCCGGGAACTCCCGTGCCGGCCGGCGACACACGTGGTTACCACAAAACTATATGAGATACAGACGTGTTTTTGGGCTCAAACGAAACGTTGGGTACTAACGATCAGTTAAAGTGCAAAATGTGTCGGACCAGATGCTTATGTACTTGTTTATGACGTCACACGTGTCACGAAACATATAAAAATATTGTCATGTTCTAGCTATGAATGCACGAACATTTAGGTATCTATAAATTTAGAATAATCGCAAGTCTTAGCAAGGCTCATCGACGAGGCAAGTCAAGTTTGCGGACATGACCGTGTTAATTAGCGTTGATGACCTCAGGTGACCTTGAATGTTCTTATAGTTATAAGACTTATTCATATAGGACCTACAATCTTTATATTTATTTCAAAAACATTTTTAAACGTATGTTTTGATATCAACTTGATGTTAACCCGGTCTCCACTTTAGTAAGTCCAGAGTCTTGAATGTTTTACGTCACATGACGTCGGGGGCGGATCCAGCTTATCCGTTTGGAGAGGGCAAATGTTTCCGACCCATTCGGCGACCCCGACCAACCGCCGCGCCGGTGACTTTACAACGCTTCACTACGTCTGCAATCTGCATGCGTGCTCATCGCGCCTTCCACTCTGGTGGCCGCCAGCAGCGGCCGCCCGGTGGAGCTGGAGCACGACACGGGGTACCTCAGTACCGGCCAGCGGCTGGGCCCGGACGCTTTCGTCAGCAATCGTGTGCTCGATGGTCTCGACATGCAGGTCAGTTGATTTTATATTGTGTAGTAGTGTGTAGTTCGGACGACGTAGAATCTCCGTCGTCCGAAAGACATCGAACGAGTGGTTAATGCCGGTCGGTGCCTCTCATTAGTGTTTCCCATATGCCAAATAGGATGGTTAGAATGGAATTCAAGAATTGTAAGCAACAACCAGTTATCTAGAAATGAATCACGAACGAAATAAGAATTGTTTGCCTATTTATCGCGAACAAATCGAAAATGCATAAACTTGCATTCATATGCCATCTCTACCCACTGCATTCACAGTACCTATATGCATTTCTAAGTACTTAAATGCTCGTGATATCAGGTTGATGCATTGAGGGAAGTCATTTGTTATTTTGCTTTTGAATAGTGACTTCTTTTTGTTATGGTTGTGTTTCCTAGTTCCTACTCGTTTGCATTCATTTATGTTTTGCTTGGAACGTTTTCTTGTTTATTTTACTTCAACGTCCATGTTAAGCTATGTATATGTTTGATTATATATTACATGATTAGAAGATATCGATTAATTGTTAGATGAAGTCAATTACCTCATTGAAACCGGCATGGCATTCCTTTGAAACAAGACAACCCCTGCTCAATAAGCTCTTTATGTTTCCTGCAGGAGGACGAAGCAGTCGCTGCCGACGAACTCCTGGAGCTGGAGGAGCCGCTGCAGCTGGTGCTCAGCGGCGGCAGGACGGCTCCAGGTCCGAGCGTGGTGGAGACTGCTGTATTCGAAGACGCCATGGCCTTCGCAGCCGGATACGTGGCATTCAAGTGCCACCATGTCGACAGCAGCCTTGGCGTCCCCATGGGCAGGGCGACCCCAGAGCAGCTGGCTGCCGTCCCAAGCACCTGGCTGCTGACGATAAACAGAGGCAGGCTGTTCGTCCCGACCGCCCGCTGGATGGGCGTGGTTCGGGCCTTCGAGGTCAACTTTAAGATGATTATGGGTGACACCGCCAGCCAGGAGCCTGGAATCATGACGAAACTCATGGCGCTCATCCGGGCGAAAGACCCCCAGCTGGACCAGAGGGTGGCGAGAAAGCTGGCAAGTACCCGCCTGCACTTCTGCCTGCGTCGTCTGAACAACAACCGGAAGGCAGCGCGTGCAGAGCGGCGTGCGGCGAGACAGCTGGCTCACCACTCCTCTAGCTCCAAGTAGGCCGAGCCACCAGCGACGAGTGACGACCCCAGTTTGATCTGCCCGGCACACTTCGACGCTCACTTTCCGTCTTGTGTCGGGGTCTCCTGGGTTATCAAATAATGGAGATGCAGTCTCGCGTGGCGGCCCTCTCGCGGCAGACTGTGTTTCCGTCTGACCTACGATAGCCCGATAGCTGCACCCATCACTCATAGAGAAAGGCGCCAGCAGCCCATCCGCGCCAAGGACACTAGGCCTGCTCTGCCGAGCGGGCCTGGCTTCGATGGTCCAGCAGACAGCGCCCGCTGCCACAGGATATCGTCCTAGCCGGCGTCGTTCTTTCGACCCGAGTAGTACAAAAGGCGGTTGGGCAGTCGTAGCCGCCTCTTGGGATGCGGTAAGGGACTTCTGTAACATTCACGAGTTGAGAACACATGTCACCCTGGGGCCTGGGCTCGATATGATACAGTCCGAGTCAGTCAGGTCAGCCTGCTTCTTCATGGCGGCCGGGACCGCTCGGTATTGGCATTCCGTGTATTGTTCGACATATCCTGACAAAGTACATACATGTATAAAGGTTGGAAACTCCGCAGTCGTAAGAATAGGTAATAAGGCTGTTTGTTCCGGCCCTCCGGCCTTCCCCCGCGCAACACTAACCGACCCGTATGATGGATCTGGCCGAGCTCTGCATGGGGGGGGGGGGGGAGGGCAGATGCAGCAGTCGACGGCGAGCTCCGGTGGGGTGGGGTCTGCGTGATGTGCCATCAGGAATCAGGAGATGGGCTCCTTCTGCGCTGCCCGTGCCCCTGTGGGCCCGCCTCCTCTTGTTGGGCAACATCCACCAAAGCTCACAGGAACTGTGACGAGACGGGGTGGTTGCCTCGGCCGTTGGGTACCACTCGTACCAGAGCAGGGCGCTAGCGCGAGCGCTGACCGGAATCGATGACTAGCTCCAGCGGCACCCCGTGGTAGTTTCACCAGTAACATATCCACGCAAGTGAGGAGTCATAGTCCCTGGCAATGCATACAACTTCGACTTCATGTTTCTCAGAAGTGCCAGAATATACTTGTCTAGTAGTAGTTTCAGATATTAATACTGAGAGCCTTACGGCCAATGTACCATTTGTTATCGGTCAAACAGCGACGGCGACGGGGGCCCCGATCAAGTTGCCTACCTCTCCCCCCCCAAAAAAAACACTCAGTCGTCAGACCCGCCCTGGATTCACAATCTCCTCTCGATCCTTCATGGATGGCACCGGTCATAGTCACGGATGTTATGGCTATATAGACACTAGACAGCTACGGAGAGGGTGGCCGTCCTACGAAGATACACTCTATTCAGGGCTTTAAATGTATCAAGGCGCTCAAGATGTAGTGAGCAAATCAATCATCATTTAACTACTTTAATGTTCACACATTAACCCGCGCCCTGGTGGGGGGGGGGCTATTTTTTGCCCCCCCTCCAGACTTTTCGATATATCTCCAGAACCGCTGCGCCGATCGTCACCAAACTTTCAGTACCCTCCCGGACATCAATTTTACACATTGTGACCAAAAATTTTTCCAAAGGCTATGATAGGTTGGCCGGAAATGACGTCAGAGTGACGTCATGTTCTGCCGTTTTCGACCCAAAAAAGGGTTTTGCGGGAAGAGCTGTCAGGCCTATAGCTTTGAAAATACAGAAAAATGATAAAGACATAAAAGCTGTAGATTGGACAGGGCTACAAAACTGCCATCTCGGATTTTTGAAATTTTTGGATTTTGACCCCCAAAAATCAAAAAATAGATTTTTTGGATATACTAATCAAAAAATCCAAAAAGTTTTTTGAATTTCGCAAAAACCGGAATATATGTGATAGTCCTTACCGCCTTCCATCCACATACCAAATTTGAGATTGATACCTCCTTTTTTGGCGAAGTTATAGCGAAAAAACTGTTCAAAATTGATGACGTAAAATTTTCAAACTCAATTTTTAGCAATTCTAGACCCCGTAGCGCAAAACAAAGACCACCATTAGACTCCCCGTGACAAGCTGCATCGAATCAATACCCAATTTATGCAAAAATATCAACTTTAAAATTTGCCCTTTTTTGGCCCGACCTTGACCTGACCTTGACCTGAACTTCACCAGAAAGTGACCTAAGCCGTACCTGATAGTCTTATAACCAACACCATTGAGTTGGAAATGAAAAATTGGCCATAAAACATGTATCACACAACCTTAGTAAAGTTGGGCTCATGTGACCTGACCTGTGACCCTTGGTGACCTGACCTGTGACCTGACCTGGTATTGCTAGTGACCTCTAATAGCAACATATCTACTAGGCAACTGACGCCCTACCGCTGATTCTCGACAAAATGCGTTTTCCTCGGTGTTATAGCGCATTCCCTAGAAGACCCGTGAACGGTGAAACATTTCATCTTTGACCTGACCTGTGACGTCATCGGTGACCCCGAGGTCAATGAAATTTGGTTTCCTTCGACAAATTTGACAGGCCTTTCGAACGCCGTTTGAATTTTGCGGATCCGTCCAGTAGTTTCGGAGATACGAGGGGGGGCAAAAAATAGCCCCCCCCCCCACCAGGTCGCGTTATAAACAGACCCCACCAGGGCGCGGGTTAATATCTGTATTTGCGCAATCCACTACTACCACCACTCCGCTGAGCGATCTAGCGCTGCATCCGCCGGGCCGGCGGAGCCGGCTTGCCTCCAATGACGTCATCCGCCGGCCGGCGCCGTTCAAGGTCAAACGGCTGGTGTCCTTACCTGGAGTTCTATAGCCTTGCAACTAACTCTACTCGGCTCTCCTCTAGGCGAGGGTAGTATTTCTATTTGTCAAGAAATAGCCGCTTCTACAGTGAAGATGTTGTGCGATAGACTCCGCATGCTGGACGCACATACTGCCATCTTCTTCCTTTCTCACCATACGTCAGCTCCTAGACTACAGTACCTTCTACGGTCCAGTCCGATGTACAAGAACCTAACAGGATTACAGGCAATCTATGAACTTGTCAGATTAGTTGTTGGACCAATAGGACCAATTAGAGAACATGGGATGACGCGACGTGTACCATCATCAAGGAAAGCTTATTGAAAGACGCAAACCAAGTTCACAGGGCGCGTCTTTTAGCCTCGAGCGAGCCACATACCGGTGCATGGCTGCATGCGGTTCCCGTGCCCAGTCTAGGCTTACATTTGGACCCCGAAACAGTCAGAATTGCTATCGCTCTCCGACTCGGTGTTCCCGTTTGCGAGCAACATGCCTGCCGCCTCTGTGGTGGTATTGTTGGTCACCTTGGGCACCATGCTCTATCGTGCAAGAAAAGTGCAGGCCGTTTCCCGCGCCACGCCCAGCTCAATGACCTGGTAAAGCGTAGCCTCTCCGTCGCCGGCATCCCTTCAGTTCTTGAGCCGGTAGGACTGGACCGTGGAGATGGGAGACGACCGGACGGGCTGACGACCTTTCCATTTAAATGCGGAAAGTGCTTAGCTTGGGACGCGACCTGCACGGACACATACGCCGAAAGCACAGTCGTTAACTCAGCACTAAAGCCAGGATCGGCTGCCCTGGCTGCAGAGACGCGTAAGAAGCACCGATACCTCAGCATTAGGGTGTGTCATTTTGGGGACTTTTTTCGCAAAACATGGTGCTCCACTGATTTTATCGTGCCCCAGACACGTAGAAACCGTGTGACATTTTTTATTTCCCCCAAATATTAACACCCATGCGGCGCCGACCGCCGACACCTTGGCCTATCTCTCAGCATTAGCGACCTCAGCGCTCCTAGCGGCAATGTTTTGAACTAACACGGTCGCTATGCTTTGTGAGCTTACGATCATCAGTAAATGCATTTTACCGAACTGACGCCTTGCTGTTGGCTTGTCTGGCACTCAGAATGTTGGTGAAAATGTGATGTTATGCATCTTAAAGCACGAAATAGTTCTGTGTTAATGTATATTGCATAGTACTACCCCCGATCCCCGTCCTGGTCTGACGGGATACGTACGAGCGCATGTTTATAGTGCCTGCTATTAGGTGTCACGTTTTTTTTTTTTTTTGGTAGCGTCGTTCACTGCATACACCCCGGGGAACAGGGGGGGGGGCAGTGGGGGCGCTTACCCCCCCTCCAACTTGAGAGCCGAGTGGGCGCCGCCCCCCTCAACATTGATGCAACGATGAAGGATCTCTGCTCCCTTTTATGGACCTACGTCCTACATGTCTGTTTTTATATAAACATCAGCACAAGGTATTTCTCTTGCATGTGAATGGTTTCTGCTGATTCGGCATCGATTTAAGAACACCTGCTATTGTCATCCCACTTTGATTTTATCTGAACTTGATCATAACTTTGGTAGGTCAGATTTTATACTGGACCATTTTGGTTCCGGATGGTATTTGATTTGGCGTGATGAGAACATTATGACGTACAACGGTGGTAAAGTCGTTGATTGATACAGGTTTACTCGCTCCGGTGGGAGGCAGTAGCGGCGGAACACCTTCAATTAAGTGGAGGGGGGGGACACTGCCGACTTTTGGTCCCATTCTTTCCATGCAACGCCCATAGGGCTAATGTTAAAATGCCCTAATCAGAGGGGGCACGGTGCCCCGGTGCCCTCCCCGTTCCGCCGCCTATGGTGGGAGGGCGGTGTGTGGGACTCAGAAAGGAGACTAATGGCTTGTGTTTTGACTTTGGTAGGACCCTCAGTATCACCGATGCAGGGCCTTCAGAGCCTCCAATTAGGGGCCTTTAGAGGCACTGGTGTGGGGTCCTCACAGACGCCCGTGTGGCCCCTCAGAGGTGCTAGTGTGAATCCCTCATAAGCGCCGGTGAGGGTCCTCACAGAATAGCCGTTGTGGACCCTCAGAGACACTGGTGTGGGTCCGTTACATGTGGGTGTGTGGCCCTTAGAGCTGCTGGTGCGAACCCTTTAAAAGTCGGCAGGGGGCCTCAACGACCGGGGAGGGGAACCTCAGACCGGCAAGGGGCCTTCAGAGGCCGGCGGCATTTTCAGAAGCCCTGTGGGGTCCTTAGATACCGACAAGGTACTCTGAGACGCCAGTGCGGCCCTCAGTCTCCGGTGTAGGGCCCTCAGAGTTGCAGGTAGGTGGCCGTCAGATATGCTTTTGCCGAACCCTCACAGGCGCAGGTGTGGGTACCTCAGAGCCACCAATATAGGGTTGCATAAATGGTGTGGCACTGGCTTGGGGGACCCTCAGTGGTGTCCTTATGGGCCCTTAGAACCACTGGTGTGGGGCTCTCAGAGGTGCTGGTTGTGAACCCT